CTATATTTAAATAATCTCAAATATCTCATTATTAGCTAGATAGATTTTTTCAAAAATCCCCACAAATGGAGGCATCTAGTATATAATTATGTGGTACGAAGCATTTTAGTGTCGAACGATCTGCAAGGCTAAAATTATTTTCTAAACGAAATCAAATATTTCATCATAATCACGTGTTATGACGTCCGATCTCATAAAAAACTGCATGAAACATTAATTCAATCTTTATGTGACTTATGTGCAAAAAAGATTTGCAATAGGATAAAAGACGTTTATGCACTAGCGTTCCAAAAGTGGAAGGTAGCGGTCAAGCGTGAGGGGGTCGAGCCACCTTAACTGCCGTCTGAAGTCCATAAGACGCATCTCCTCTGCATGCGGATGTCTCGGTGGTATAGCACAGTGGAATTGATTTTTTTCCTGTTTGTGGGTTCAATCCCCGTCGTATCCCGATAAGAATTTCTATTTTCTATATTCTAAATTAAAACAAACGACGCTTCGTAAACTGAGGTAAACTTTTATTTTTCTTTGACTATTAACATGTTTCGGCAAAACGTTTGCCATCTTCAGAAATACAAAGAGAGTTGAATAGAAAGAGCATTACGTACCCGGTTTGTATTATACCCTCAATAAGTCTAGTTTGATATTATGGGTCATGATATACCAGCATCAACCTTTTCTGGCAATAAAATTCCTTGGTAGCTTACAAAAAGCAATCGAATCTGTTTTAGGGATATGATCCTGCTACATGTTCCTTTTCGTAATCCCACTTTCAGATATATATACCAATGCATTATAATTACATAGGTTGTTTGTAACGAGCTTGGTATGGTCAAAGCTGTCCACGAGTCTAGAAAAGCTAAATACGGTCAAGGAGTTGGCGACATCTGGATGGGAGGGTTACAATGTAGTGGTGAAGAACTCTCTGTATGGAATTGCAAACGGGACCACGAGAAGGGTACTCAAGGGTGTACACATGCTGATGATGCTGGCGTCAAATGTCTTCACACTGGTAAAAATAATGACAGCGGAGACTTTAGTTAAGAGTGATAATATGTGATAATCTCTATCACTTTGCTGCTCTGGGTATTATTCACGGCTTTATCACTTATATAAACTATTGATGTGAAATAGAACGAGTTACGCAGATCAGTTTTGACAGATGCTACCGAGGGCTACTAACCCAAAAACATGAAATGCTTAAACTACAAAAAAAATATTTTTTCCTGTCATTCTAAGAAGTTGTATCTCCATTCGTAGGCTTACCTGCCATCATCGAGGTTGGCTGTTACAAAGATCAGAATGAGCCGAACAGAGCTCTTCGGCATCTGATCGCCAACTTACGAGACGAAATCGATTGGTATAATGTCCGTAGTATGGTAACGAAGTGTGCCGAACGTGCACACGAAGGTGGATACCAATATTTTGGTATTCAGTTTTATGGCGAGTGTTGGGTGGATAAAGAGGGAGCAACGCGATATCATATGCACGGGAAAGCTGAAAGTAAAGATTGTTTCGAAGGTAAAGCCATAATTTACAGTAGAAGGTTTGACATGAAAATGGAATAAACCGGAATTCTAATAAATACTTTGTGAGAGCGAGATAAAGACAGACAGAATGAGAGGGCGAGAGAATAAAGCCGTAGAGAGCAACGGATCAAATGACTTTTCATTACAACGAAATTCGACATAAATACATACATAGTTTTGTTTGAAATCATAATCGTTAACATATATTGAAAATTAAGTGTCATTTAGGTACAAGGGTAGGTATGGCTAGGTATGGCTAGGTATGGCTAGGTATGGCTAGGTATGGCTAGGTATGGCTAGGTATGGCTAGGTATGGCTAGGTATGGCTAGGT